GAACTCTTATTTATAAGGCTTAATGAATGCAATAGAACAAAGAAAAATTAGTTCAATTGATATATGACACATAACACATTAGAGTAAACAAAAATAATATGAAAAAATAGAAGGCAAATAAAGAAAGAATGGTGTAATCCCTCCCCTCGTGCCTAATGTTCCTATTCGGGTAAAGTTGACTCTATCTTAGGTAATTTCTAATATGGATGCATGAGATTGGATTCACTAATACATTTAGATTCGATAAAGTTTCAGGTCCCCAAACCTTCAGACCAAAGGCGAAGGGTCATCAATCCCAAGGCCTAAGAGTCGATTGTTCGAATGATCCCTCGGACATTGCTACGCGCACGTCGTGCCATGGCCACATGTCCAAGTGGATCGATCCTAATCCTAATAAGGAAGAATGGTGTGACAACCACTAAAAATAAAAAGAAATGAGAATTATAAGGTAAAACATATGCACGTATGAAGTGCTCATTTTGAAGGGAGGGATTAAATACCATCAAATACGGGTGAAGGTTCTAGGGTGGCTATCCCCTCCCCCAAGATGCAAGCATGATATGTAAATATAAGTGAATGAAAATAAACACATTATTCATCATATACACGGATATCGAGATGTTGGCGCGTGTTAAGTGCAAAAAACCCTAAAAAGGAAAAAAAATGCAACCTAAAACCTCCAAATGTGATATGAAAAAAAGGTTAGGAAAAGAAAAAGATCGACATAATCAAATGCTCGGACTCTCTAAAAGTCCCCAGTGGAGTCGCCAAACTGTCGCATCCCATTTTTAAAGAAAAAATAAAATTACGGGTTTATAAAATGAATTTTGATTTATTTTGAATGAAAATGAGTTTTTTTATTTTTAGACAATAAATAAAGACAAAGGGCCTAAAATGGGACTTAATAGGGCGACGATTTTGGCTCAAAAATAATAGTTTAGAAAGGGTTTTTAGGAAAAAATAGAAGTCGCCACTTAGTATAGAGTTAAGGTATACCAAGTCACCTAAAATGAATTTTAAGTAAAAAGTAGAGAAAATTCTTTTTAAACGACTCCAAGTTTTCGAAAATCAAGAGAAAAAGGCTCTGGAGTCACAGTTGAAGAAAAGGAAGGCAAGGATAAAATCCAAGGCACCCTTTCAACCTAACTAAGGTTAGTTGCGTGAATTAGTTGAAAAATTTTCTTTAGTTTAACCTAAAAAACTTATCATACTTGGATGTTACTATATGAATACAAACCTAGATCTAATGGCTATCGGAAGGGTCAATATGTCTTTTCAAATTTTAATTGGTGCAAATCACATTAATTGCGACGCCCAAAAGTGATTCTTTGAAGAGGTCATGAATATGCAACAATGAGACTTGAAAAAAATAGAAAAATTATAATATACAAATATACGTGACCTAAAAGAGAGGGATGCAACATAACGGGTACGGGGGCTAAAATTCGTGACTCAAATTTCCTTTTTATAGAGGGAATACGAGCGTGCTAAGAATAAGAAGTCATACTCGTCCATATCCCATATTTAACGGGTATTCATAAGGGATATTCATATAGAGGAAATATCATGCAAAAATGGTAAAGATCCTAAAAAGTAGAAAATATGCATGAAAATGTAGTGATTGTCACTCAAACATGATCTAACGTGTAGACAGTCCCTAAAGGTCTAACATTGGACTAACCCATGTCTATAAGTTCTCACTAGCGTTGGACTAGTGAGAAATCGGAACAAAGGACCACAACTCGTATTGGACTAGTGTGGTGATATCATGCATTTATTATAACTAAATAAATCATATAAAACATAATAAAAACAAGTAAACACATAAATCACATCAAGCACATAGCACATAAGCATGATATCTAGATGCAAAAACCCTAAAAAAGCGACTAAACACGTAAACACACAAGCATGCAAGCACACAAGCAAATAAAAGCAAATAGAGACCTAACTATTATATTTGGGGGCCCTAACTACAATCTAAGAGGGAGATTTGAAAAATAATACCCTAACTATTACATTTATTTAACTAAATACATATTTGGCGAAATTAAAACCTATCTATTACATAATCTATCTAAATACATGTTTTGAACCCCTATCTATTACAATTTGGTATTTAAATGCCTCTCAAATAATCAAAAATTAAATTAAAAAAATATACAAAATTAAAAACAAATAAATTGAATAAATAAATAAAATAAAAAACATGCAATTACACATATAAAATCATATAGAAGCACATAGGAGGATTTAAAATAACACAAAAAGATACCTCCCTTGATGTAGTAGCTAATTGGGGTGTGGATTTGCCCTATTTAACTCCAAAATTAACAAAAAACATCAAGGCACCAATTTAATTAACAAATAAATCATAAGGAAATGAAAATAAATATAAAATCTATCAATTTAGGCATTCAAATGGAATATAACTAACAATTAAAAAATAAAAGTAACTTCTATCTAAGAAATCAAACAAACAAGGACTTAATTGCAAATATTGAGAAAATTTTAGGGGCTAAATTATTATTACAAAACTTTGGGGTCAAAATTAAAGAGAAATAAAATTAAGGGCTCAAAGATAAAGCCTACCAAATCCAATGCTAAAATCCACAAAAATAAATCAAAACCCATTTGCTACACTTGCTAAACCCAAAATAAAATATCACCCAAATCTCTAAACTTTTGTTAAAATCCAATAAAACTATTAAATCAATCAAAATTATTAAACCTCAAATTCCCTCCTAAAACTTATGAATAATCTGTCCAAAAATCACATTAAAGCATGCCAAAGAAATTAACATTTTAAGGGACAAGATTTGATTGATTTTTCCAATTTTTTGGGCCATATCTGAATTATTTAAAAAACTAAGGGTTAAAGTGCAATTTTTTTGGAAAATCCCATGCAAAGCCACGAAGCTTTCTTCTTCTTCGCTGGTTTCTTTCTTCTGCAAATTCATGGGTTTCCATCCAAGCGGTTGTTGTACCATGAAAAAGGAAGAAATCAAAACATGATTTTAAATGAACAGCCCAAAGTCAAAATCTTTCTCATCTTCCTAGCAAAAAATATCAAATGTCACTGGGCTCCTCAACCTTTTTCGGAGGAAACAAATTCTATGACCAAAGAAGAAACAAAAGGAAGGGAACGAATAGTAGCAAATATACGCAGCTAGAAAAAAATCTAATCAAACCATTCTCATGCATTGTTCTCCTCCTTTTTACAACGAGGGCAAATGATATAAGAAAACACAAGTTTCCATGGCTCAAAGCTACCCTACTCCAGATTCATTCACAAACGGAAGCAAACGACTCTCATTCATGGACTCCAGATAAATCCCCGAGACATAACTTTACTTATGAACTGCAAGGCTTGCAAAGATAATCAAGGACAAGCATTTACATTAATTTCCAAATCTTATCCTTTTTAGTCACACAAGATACATCAGACCCAACAAAACCATAGAACCCACACCATAAGCTCATGAAAGCATAATCTGAAAAAAGTTCTCTTTTGATGAGTTAGAGATTTTTCCTTTTGTGGATTGCAACAAGCAAAGGAGGGATTAAGAGTTACCTTTGGTGTGTGAGTATGTCAAACAACCGCAGGAAGTTCGAGGAAAGTAAAATTAAAGCTAGAATCTGGAAGTCAACCCTTGTTGCAGAAAATTCAGCGGTGACAAGAAGGTCAGCACTTTGGGCCACGATTTGAGAGGGTTGGAGACGTTTTTGCTGAACGATTCCTGAACAAAAATTATTCATGGGTATACAGAGATGGTGCAGAAAAAAAAAACAAAAAAAGAACTCGCTGAAACAACCAAAAATCAAGTCGGAAATTGATCTGGAAGGCAGCTGGTTGACCAACCTGATTGAAGCTTTCCAGCAGAAAAATTTTTTTTTTTCTTCCTTCGCTGATTTCCTCTTGTTTTTCTTTCTTTTGCCTCTTGTTTTTCTTCCTGTTTTTCCCCTCTGATCTTCCCCAGATTTCCCCCTCCTCCTTTCTTTCTTTTCTCCTTTCCTTTTTTCCTCTTCCTCTTCCTTTTCTCCTTCGTTCCTGAAACCCTCTTTTTCGCGAAGCCTCTCTAGCTCTTCCCTTTCTATTCCAGATTTTTCCTCAACCCCTCTGCAGTCTCTCGCGCTTTCTTGCCCTCCCCAGATCCTCTCTTCCCTCTCTCTCGGTTCCTTTTTTCTTTTTTTTCTTTCCCTTGTTGCCCGTAGCTTCTCTTTTTTCTCTCTCTTGTTTTTCTTTTCTTTTTTTCTCTGCCGAAGCCTCTCTAGTTTCATCCTCTTTGTTCCAGATTTTTCCCCAAACTCTACACCTATCTTGCCACCTAGCCCCTAAATGTTGTTGTGTGCAAAAAGCCAAAACCACATGGCTCATTTGCATGCATTCCACCTATTTTTGTTTTTCCTTTTTTTATTTTGTTTTTCAAAACAAATTTAGGATAAACAAAAATGTTAAATTCCTTTTTTGAGGTTTGCCTTGCAAATTTTCATTTTATTTTGAAGAAATTGAATTTGAAAAGATAAAAACAAATTTTTGTGAGAATTTTCTTTTTTCGGAAATTTAATGCAAAAAACGTTTGTTTTGTTGATTTTTTTAAAAAAAAAAAAGAAGATGAACCTAATTCAAAAAAAAAAATAGCTAACTATCATTTTGCACATTGATTAAATAAAAATAAAATAAAATAAAATTCAAATTCAAATTAAATGAAATTAAAATTTTGGTGTCTACATATATGTACTAGGATCGCTAATTTTTGTCAAGATAAAAAACAACTTATTTTAGTTCCTCCATAGTAACCTCCCGCAGCAAAGAAATATTTTGGTCAGCAGATACAAGAGCAAGGATATGTTGAGAACTCTTCCGCATCACTTATATCTTCTGCCGACAAGAGGTTCTTGAAAAAATTCTCAGCCTCTTATGAAATTTGCTCTTCATCTTCAATCCATGCATTGTCTCTATCTTTGATTCTATGGATCATAAACTTAGCTCTTTTATCTCAAGCTGATGCATGAAAGAAACTTGTGTTACTGTCACCATCTTTTAACCACTTCATTCTTGCCTTTTGACGCCGAAACTCCTCCTGATTTTTTAAGCTTAATAGCAGTTGAGCTTGAGCACGATGTAGTTCACTTCTTGCCTCTATCGTATGCAATGTTTCATATTGAATTTCCTTTTGCTGAACTTCCAACTCATTTTGCTTAACAGCTTTAAAGATGTCACCAAAATGTTGCTTGTTCCGATCCTTTAAACAGCTTTTCAGCCTCTTTAACGTGAAAGCCAAAGAATACATACCATACCCTTGGACAGGCATGCCCTAATTATCACGCACTACTTGAAGAAAGCTAGGATTTGAAATCCAAAAATTTTGAAACTTAAATGGCTTTGGCACTAAAGAGCTATCAGTCCGCATTTGCAATAGTAGTGGAAAGCGATCTAAAATAGCACGATTGAGTTGTTGGACTTCTATGTTTGGCATAAAATTAAACCATTGAAATATCCTATCTAGCCGCTTCCAAACTCTAGCGCCAGCTCTAATTGCTAACCACATATAGGAACTACCTGAAAAAGGTAATTCTTGAAGGCAACAGTTTGAGATTGTAGCGTTAAGATTAGCAATTGCTCCCAAATCTTGAGCAACTCTTCCTACATATTCTATAACATAAGTTATCATATTGAAATCCCCACCCACTAGCCATGGCCTTGTGATTGTTTCAGCAATATATCCTAGCTCTGACCACAAAATCCGCCTTTCAAACCTTGAACATTTTGCATAGACAAAAGTAGCATTCACCATATGAGCCCAAGAATCATGCACCACCATAACATGAAGCCATTGTTCGTAATTATGAAGACCATTAAAATGAAAAGCAGACCTCCAAAGGACCCAAATTTTATTAGATACATTAAAGAAACAAAAATCAAAAGAGAGTTTTATACGAAGAACTTCAATGCTAGATGCCTTCGCCAATGGTTCAAGAAGAACAAGAACAGAAATACTATGTAAATGAATTAATTGCTTAAAACGACGAACAGAAGATCTGCCCATCGCTCCCCTAATGTTCCAGATTAAAACACTATTCATGAGTTACAGACTGCAACGAACCATCAATGGCTTTAGAAGCTTGCCTGGTTAAGATTTGTCAGGGATGCTTGATGTGATTCCTCCTTTTCCTGGATTTTTTTGAAACCACAGTAGTCAACCCTTCCTCGTCCACTGGCTTGGATAAACGTAGATTTAGAGAATCACTGAATTGCTTAAAGGATTTGAACAGTGAGTTGCTAGCTGTACTCCGTATCGGCACTGGTACGTCTTCACAATCCAAAAAAGAACCACCATAGGCAGTATTTTCTTCTTGACTACTGGGATTAATTATTAATGTGTCATCAACAATCTTACTCAGCACTAATTGATTATCTAGAATAGTCAATTGATGATCTCTCAATTCACTTTCAATAGAATGCTGTACAGGAGCAACACCATGGGGTATTTCACCTTCTTCTATTTCGCAATTATCAGGAGAATCATTTTGAACAATATCCTTCCCTTTTAGTTCATCTTTTTCCTTTGGAATATAGGCTATGCGATTGTCCTGAACCACCTGGGTTATTTCCTTCTTTTCCTTTTGTTGCGTGTTGTGACGACAATCCGAGTTTGCGTGACCTTGTTTGCTGCAGATAGAACAGTAAGATAGCAGATTATCATAAACCACCTGCTAGAATCCACTTCGGTCAACTCCAATCCGAATACGATTGGGATGCTCCTTTGAAAGATCAAGATCTACACACAAGCAACATTCGGACGAGATAAAGATGCTATAGCTACATCTAGCTTGAGGGGAGTACCAATTGCACGTGCAATAGAGAACAAAGACAATTTGTCAAAAAAAAATTAATTGGTAATAGTTCGAAAGAAATCCAAATTGGCACATGAGATGATTCACTATTGATTTGGAAATCCGACATCCACTTAAAGACTCGCATTGGGAAATCTGATATCATCCAAAGTCCTTTTAGCCAGCATCACTGATAGTCTTCCTCCACCAAAAATTGAATAAGAATATGCCTCTGATCCAGAAAACCTTTTGAGAAATCAGATTGAAAACCAATTGCTTTAAAAGACTTCCTTCTTGTATCAAGATTGGGTCTTCCATGTGAAAATTCTCCCACGAGTGCACATTTGAATGGCGTAGCCATTTTGGCGATATCCTCTTCAGAAAACAAGACCATTAGTTCTCTCTGAATTGTGAGACAGGCTTGATCTTGCATGCAGAAAAGGTTGGCTGATCACGCAGCACATCAGCAAAAGAATAGCTAGGGTGACCTCCATCCTCCAACTGAAGAACAGCCATGGAGGCTTAACCCTAAAACTACAAACTTCAAAATTCAAATCCTGAGAGAGAAGGAAGAATGATTCTAACCCTTCAATCTATTAAATACATATTACCTAAGTAATTTTTTAAAATCTTTTTGTATAGTGAATGTTAATTTTATTGTTTCAAACTTCTTTGTTGCAATTTCCTCATGTCATATTGGAATATTTTTATTTTCAAATTATTTGTTCCTATTGCATTTGGTCAGATTGGATCCTTTTTTTTTTTTTTTACTCTAAAAGCTTTCTGTTTATGGTAACTAATGGGTTTCTTTTATGTGAATTTTAGTTTAGTTTTTAAGAAGATATTCTTTGGTTAGGTTCATAAAGCAAAGTCTAAAGAGCAAAATTAATTGCGCATTTACGAATGTGGCCTTATGTTAGTGCCTGATGGAATTTTTTGTGCTAAAAAATCTTGTTTTATTTTTACCTTGTGGGATATTCGTATCAAAGTATATTTATACCTTTTTCTTTTTCTTTATATATTGTTTTTGTTGCAGGAAGAATTTGGTTCCTAATATTGAAGGTATGGCATAAATAAGAGAAAAAATATAAGAAAAAAGAACATTATACTCATATGGTTTGACATTTTCAGGGTTTATTTTTCACTTTTGCTTTCTTTGTTGAGGAAATGTTTGGGATTTTACTTTGCCTTACTGTTAACGCAATAACTTCTTCATTAATTTAGCTATTGGTCACCAGATGGGGCAGTGCAAACCATTTTAAAAATTTTTGGTACTTCAAGAATTGTCTTTAAGTGTCTTAGGTCGTTATTATACTTTTTTTTCCTTCTTTTTTATACTTTTGCAATAAGGAAATATTGTTTTCATAGAACCAATAAGCCTATGTTTCTTTTTTTTTTTTTTGTCTACATCTACACGAATTACAATAATGATGCAACTGGCTAACTATCGTGCAAATGAACTATTTAAGAAGAATTTCTATTTTTTATTCAAGAAGATTGTTTAATTAATCATTATATGCTTTTGTTCAGCATATTTAGGTTATAGAATTTAAACAAATAAATTATTGTGTTGATTTTTTTAATTACTTTGACTTTGGATCCAATGTATAAAATATGTTGTTCAATATTCATGCCTATCCCTATTGTAATTTTTAATTTTAGCATATCCTTTTAAATGTTTCAAACTATTTTTGGATAATTACACTCTTTGAAGAGGTTACAAAGTTTATCTACTAAATGAGTGTCTTTGTTTTCGAGATTTAAGTTAATAATAAGTTAAATAAAAAAAATAATCCGTGCAAGTGCACGGGATAAGAACTTGTTCTTAATAGAAAATATAGTACTAGTATGCTCTCATGGGATTTCAACCAACAAGTTTTTACTATTTCTTGAGCTGAGTTTGTAGAGTATTTTGGTTGTGAGAAAATTTGACACAAAGTATAAATCAAAATGGAGCTTAATGGTCGGCAACAACTGTTTTGGACATTAATTTTGTTTTAATTGTGATCTCAATTTATAATTGATAAACTTTGTGAGGGTGCTCACCTCGGTCCTCATGGGAATGCCGAGGTGACCTCACTTCCTCCCTCACACGAGCACGGTCTCGCGCTGAATATGGCCCCTGACCTCGGGCAAGCCCCTGGTCTACTGCCTAGATGACCCCCGCACCTCAGACTTCCACCTCAGCTGCACGCTGGTGATGTCAAGCCACCTGACATCATTAGGAACCAGTGCTTTATCTGAAAAGCACTGATACTCTTAATGGCTACTACGCAGGACTCCCCGTCACCCTGCCCAGGCGGTTACAGTGTCAGAGTCAGACCTCCTGGCAAGGAACAGAGCCGTAATGGCAGAACATGGGTCCCACTAGCATGAGCCCTCTGTCCTGCCATCCACTCCCGCTCTATAAATACCTCTCACGTACACCCAACAAGTAAGCACACTGTTCATTCATACAGACTATTGCTTTTCTCTCGTTCTCATACTAACTTGATCGTCGGAGTGATCCCAGGGGAGAAACCCCGCCATTCACTTCGGATAAGCAGATACCGGTTCTCAGAAGAGCCTGATTCCGGTCGGTTCAACTACCCACCAAAAATCACCTCTTCAATTGGCGCCGTCTGTGGGAACGAGATTACTGCTAAAATGAGATCTACGCGCTCCAGAAGTGGAAGAGTTCCCTCGACCGGGGCTGGCCAAACATCGGGAGCCCAGCAAGATCGTATTTCTGAAGAACAAGGGTCCCCAAGTACCCAGCCCAACAACGAAGACGCCATCGCCAAAATGGCCGAATTCGTGGCTGATAACCCAAACATCTTCGAAGAACTGGGGAGGTACTTCAAGAGGCAGGGGAAGGAAAAAGCTGAATCCTCCAAGAGAAGACCGACGAAATCCCCTGAAGTGCCTTCCGGCGAAGGCTCCGATGAGGGGCACCTCTCTCGGAGCACTTCCAGGCGCGTCTTTTCCAAGGCGACATCTAAAATTGCTTCCATTTTCGGGACGTTTTCCCGGGGTCTTCTGGGAAAACGAGCTGAGGACCCACCTCGGCGTCCCGGAGGTTTAGCAGCCGAATATCTAAGGGTTCCGCCCTTCACGGATGATATCAATGGGGAGATGGTCCCCCCAAATTTCAAATTTCCCGCCCTACGTTCCTACGATGGCCGAGGTGACCCCGAGGATCACCTCCGCGCCTTCCTCTCCGCATTTCGGCTCTACTGCGTCCCCGACGCCGTAATTTGCCGAGCTTTCCCCATTTTCCTGCAGGGGACAGACCGAAAATGGCTCTGGGGCTTAGAACCAAGGAGCATTTCCTCATTAGATGAGTTGATAGATCGGTTCATCCACCGCTTTGTATCATTTCGTCCGATTACGAAGACTTCGGCTTACCTCTTGAACCTGCAGCAGACTCCCGGTGAGTCACTGCGCTCGTACGTGCAAAGGTTCAATGAGGAGAATGTGCAGATACCTGATCAGAATGAGCAGGTAACCATAGCTGCCTTCATCAATGGGCTGGTCGTAGGAATTTTCAATACCGAGATACATCGGGATTACCCCCGCACACTTCGGGAACTCTGGGATCGAGTAGATCAAGGAATCCGAAGCGAAGACCTAAATCGCATGAAGCGAGAGGCGCAAGCCGCTCGTACTGGGCAAGAGTCCCGAAGGAAAAAGGACACCGGCCGGGCGGAACAAGGCCCCAGCGGCTCGTCGAGCCAATTCCGAGACCGCTGAAGTGTCTTCAACCGGATCGTAAAAGGAAGATCGTCCACCTCAGACGCCGAACTTACACCACTCAACTCCAGCCGGACTCATGTCCTGGCTGTGATGAGGCAGAATCACCTCGGTCGAATCCCTCCTGAAATTCCGGGGAGGAGAGATAAGAGGAACTCAAACCTCTATTGCGCCTACCACCGGGATGTTGGGCACGAGACTGAGGACTGCAACGATCTGAAGCGGGAGATCGAGAACTTGATCTGGCAGGGGTACCTGAAACAATTCGTTAGCAAGGATGGAAGCTTCAACCGTAGCGTCTCCCACCGGGAGAGCCGGGGCCCCGGCCGAGAAGACAGGCGGGACACGAACATGCATTGCCGAGGTCCCGAGGACCGTAAGGAGGACAAGCGGCCTCCACGCGACGGATCACCGGGCTACGGCCCCAACATTGCCGGAGTGATCAACACAATCGCGGGAGGACCAACGGGAGGAGGCAGTCAGAACTCCCGGAAGCGGACCTACCGCCAGGCCGGGATGGAGGTGGTCGAGCTGAGCTCTCGATTGTCCGAGGTCATCACCTATGGTCCTACTGACCCAGTTCCTACCGCCTCCAGCAATCACGAATCTCTCGTGATCGAGGTCCTCACCAACAACTACATAGTCAAAAAGGTTTATGTTGACCCCGGAAGCTCGGTAGACGTCTTGTACTATCGAACTTTCGAAAGTTTGAAACTGACCAGGGAGCAACTCACTCCGGTCAGGACTCCCCTCGTCGGATTCGGGGGACACGTAGTCCACTCTGAGGGTATGGTGTCCCTGATGGTGACTGTCGGACGTCATCCCCGCTACCGAACTGTACCCGTCAACTTCGCGGTGGTCAAGGCAGATTCTCCCTACAATATGTTAATAGGTCGACCCACGCTCAACGCCTTGAGGGCTGTGTACTCTACCTACCACCTGAGTTTCAAATTCCCGACACCAGCGGGGATGGCCGAGGTGAGCAGCGAGATGAGTACTGCCCGCGAATGCTACCTCGCCACCATCCAGGCCGCAGTCACTCCCCAGACTGCGTCAAAGGCCGAAGAGAAGAGGCCAGCTGTTCTCTCCATAGACTGCATCGATCCACAAAAGACGGGAAAGCAGGCTGGAACCCGGGGATGAGGTGGAGCAGGTGGTTTTGGATGAGGCGAGACCTGACCAAGTGGTCCAAGTGGGGGCCGGACTCCCTTCGCCTCTAAAGGAAGAGATGATTCACTTGATAAAAGACCACCGGGACGTCTTCGCGTGGTCCGCTGATGAAGTGGTCGGAGTGCCACCTGAGCTCATGATTCACCAGCTCAACGTTAACCCGCAGGCCCGTCCTGTGAGGCAGAAACGTAGGCACTTCGCCCCGAACGCAGCAAGGCCATATCTGACGAGGTCGACAAGCTCTTGCCCGCCAAGATGATCCATGAGGTCCAGTACCCCACCTGGCTTTCCAACCCTGTCATGGTCAAAAAGGATACCGGTGGATGGAGGATGTGTGTCGACTTCACCGACCTTAACAAGGCCTGCCCCAAAGATTGCTACCCTCTGCCGAGGATTAACGCCCTTGTCGACTCGGCAATAGGACATGAGATCCTCTGCTTCCTAGATGCCTTCAAAGACTACCGTCAAATAGGAATGAGTGAGGAGGACCAAGAGAAGACTGCGTTCTACACCGACCAAGGTGTCTACTGCTATACTACCATGCCATTCGGTTTAAAAAACGCCGGGGCGACCTATCAAAGGTTTATTAACCGCCTCTTCAAGGATCAGATCGGCCGAAATGTGGAGGCCTATGTGGACAATATTCTCGTCAAAAGCTTAACAACTTCGGCCTTCTTATCAGATGTAAGGGAGGTCTTCGGCGTTCTGCGGGATTCGAGGATGAAGTTAAATCCCAAGAAATGCGTCTTTGGTGTCACCTCAGGAAAATTCTTGGGGTATCTGGTTTCCCACCGGGGAATCGAAGCTAACCCCGACAAAGTCAAAGCCATACAGAACATGTCCCCACCTCGGAACCTCCGAGAAGTCCAGAGGCTGAATGGACGTCTGGCCGCGCTGAACCGCTTCCTATCTCAGTCTGCGGAGAAAGCTTTGCCCTTCTTCAAGGTACTTAAGAAATCTGATCAGTTTGCCTGGATTGAAGAGTGCCAGGCCGCCTTCGATAAGTTAAAGCAATATCTGCACCACCTGCCTACCCTCGCCTCACATCGGCCCGAAGAAAGGCTGTACCTTTACCTCTCTGCCGTCGACGAAGCTGTCAGCGCTGTGCTCATCCGAGATGAGGGTACCCAAGTGCCGGTCTACTACGTCAGCCGGGCACTCCGTGGGCCAGAGATTCAGTACACTCAGGTGAAAAAGTTCGTACTGGGACTGGTCCACGCCTCCCGGCGGCTGAAACCCTATTTCCTAGCTCATCCCATCTCCATCAGGACCGACCAGCCTCTCCGACAGATACTGGTGCGGCCCGAGGCCTCCGGGCGCCTCACTAAGTGGGCCGTCGAGTTAGGGGAGTACGACCTGTCGTATGAGCCACGCACCGCCATAAAAGCTCAAGCCTTAGCCGACTTCTTGGCCGAACTCACCTTCATGAAAGGTCGAGAATCCACTTCCGCCATCGCCGAAGTGTCCACCCCACACATGTGGATATTATATGTGGACGGATCCTCTAACGGGGATGGCAGCGGAGCAGGATTACTCCTGGAGGGCCCCCAAGGGGAAGTGTGCTCGTATGCTCTCCGTTTTGACTTCCCAGCCACCAACAATGAAGCTGAATATGAGGCCTTGATTGCGGGACTCCAGCTAACCCGCAGGCTCGGTGCACACCGGATTCATGTCCGCAGTGACTCCCAACTTGTAGTATGCCAAGTTCTTTGTGAATATGAGGCCAAAGATGAGACCATGCAACGGTATCTATCCAAAGTCCACCAACTCATCGCGTACTTCGAGTCTTTTGAAATCCAAAGAATCTCCCGCTCCGAGAACAGGCGGGCCGACACCTTATCCCGGCTGGCTTCCACATCATTTTCTGATCTCAACAAGACCGTCTTGGTGGAAGTGTTGAGCGAGCCGGGATACATGGAAGGGGTAGCCTGCCCTGTAAACTCGGGAGATACATGGATGAGTCCGTTCATCCTTTTCTTAGGGCAGGGAATCCTCCCCCAGGATAGAGCCGAGGCGAGAAAGATACAACGCAAAGCCGCTCGATACGCTCTCCGCGATGGAGAACTGTATAAACGCTCCTACCTTGGCCCGTGGCTGAGGTGCGTTACGCCCGAGGAAGGACGCCAGATCCTCCATGAGATACACGAAGGCCTGTGTGGGGCTCACGTCGGTCATAGGATGTTGGCCAAGAAGACCTTGTTTCTTGGGTATTTCTGGCCTTCCGTTCGACAGGATTCCCCAAATCTTGTTCTCGGCTGCCCATCCTGTCAAGCCCACGCCCCCGAACATCACCAGCCCTCAAAGTTCATGGTTCCAATTATCTCACTCTGGCCATTTGAGCAATGGAGGACAGACATCATTGGCCCTTTCCCAAAGGCGGTCGGGGGTTATACCTTCCTGGTAACCGTTGTGGATTATTTCACTAAGTGGTTTGAGGCCGAGCCTCTAAGGAACATCACAGGGCTGGCCGTTCAAAAATTCTTTTGAAAATGCATTGTCTGCCGCTTCGGCATACCTCAGATCATCATTTCGGACAATGGGAGACAGTTTGCCGAGAACCCATTCAAGACTTGGTGCGAGAACCTCGGCATCAAACGACACTTCACCTCGGTAGGCCACCCTCAGGCCAATGGTCAGGCAGAAAATTTCAACCGAACTCTCTTACATGGCCTCAAGACCCGACTACACCGAGCTGGATCATCTTGGGTGGAGGAACTCCCCAATGTTCTGCGGTCATATCGGACCACGCCGAGATCATCCACGCAAGAGACCCCCTTCTCCTTGACCTATGGAGCCGAGGCTGTCATCCCTGCTGAGATCCTTACACCCAGTCCTCGGCTAACAGCCTATGTAGCCGAGGTGAACGGAGAAGAGAGACAATTGGATCTCGACCTCATCGACGAAAAAAGGGACATTGCCTCAGCTCGGATAGCTTCCTACAAGAACACCCTAGCCCACTACTACAATGCCCGCGTCAAGCATCGGCGATTCCTACCTGGAGACTTGGTGCTTAGAAAAAACTCAGTCAGTCGAGCTGAGCCGCAAGGAAATTTGGGCCCGAAATGGGAAGGCCCTTACCGAGTTGTAGAATATAATCTAAGTGGGTATTACAAACTGAGCCACCGAGATGGCTCTTTAGTGCCGAGGACTTGGCACGCCGAGAATCTCAGATTGTATTATGCTTGAAAATTTTATTAAGTTATGACTTCACCTGCTTTGTTATTTTTCAATAAGTGATGCTACACATCTATTATTAAAAAATAAGGGGGACAGCAAGGGACGAAGCAAGAAATTAAAGTAGCCGAAATGAGAAGAAATTTGTTTCACTTAATAAAGAAAAGGCATTACAAAAAGAAGACAAGGACCGAGGTCAGGAGTACTGCTAAGCATCTCCCACCTCAGATTTACATTTAAATCCCTACGAGCTAGGCCTCCACTTCGGCTCCCTCGTGGCCAGTGGCCTCCCCGGCTGCTTCCCCGCCGGGATGAAGCTCTCCTCCTTCTCCTCCTTGCACTTCGTCGGCCTTCTCGCCGACGTCGCCCCCAGCATCCTCTCCTCCTTCCTCCTCAAACACCTCGTCGAGCTCAGCTAACCATTTGTTGAACTCGTCCTGGATTTCGGCCAAGTTCCTTCCAGCTTGGATGCCCTCGGCCATCCGATCGCACAGCTCCTTGGAGTTCTCATTATAGTTGGCATTATTTCTCAAGGACTCCAAAGCCTCAGAGGGTAGATGAGCTGCGGCCTCGTCTATGGCCGATGTGTAGCCTAGCATGAAGCTCGGCCTCGTCAGCTGGCCGAGATCCCCGATGAAGGTCTCGGACCTCCGGAAATCCTCAACAGCCGAGGTCCTTGCGCTCTCGAGGGCCTGTTCGTGGGTCTTCTTCACCTCCTCTGCCCTCTTCTGCTCTTCCTCCAGAGCTGACTTGAAGCTGTTGATGGTAGCCTCGGCCTCCTCCTCTTTAGTCTCGGCTTCTTGAAGGCGTCTTTGAAGCTCTGACTTCTCGGATTCGGACACCACCAGTTTCTTCTTCAACTTGGCAATCTGATCTTGCAGCTTGCCGGTGTCCTGCTCCTCGAGTAGGGCACAGTACTGATGTGCCATTTCGGCCACAAAGGCTGTGTTGGAGGCCGTGGTCACCATAACGCTTTGAAGCATCTCGACCGGAGACAGTTTCCTTGTGAACTCTACGTCCCTCGGCAAGCTTGATTGCATCACCAAGTCTTGTGCAACCCGAGAATTGGCGCACCTGTCGTTGACCTTAAGTGTCCATTCCGGACACCAATGCTAGCCGGAGTGGAACTTCTCTTTTTCGGGAAACACCGGGGGGCTATGGAAACGGTTCCATAGTGAAGACCCCGTCACCGCGTTGACCGGAACCTTCAATTGTTTACCTCGGCCGTGAGGAGGTGGAAGTGCCGTGGTCACTCCTAGTGGCACCCCTTCTGGCACAGAAGAGGTGGACCCTGTAGCTGCAGCGGCCGAGCTGCTTTGGGCTGCCGTGGTGGGGGTGCTCTGCTCCACCGAAGTCTTGGAAGATTGTCCCTGCGACTTCTTTTTGGGCGGAGGCGCCGATGTCTCGCCCGAGCTCTTCCTCTTCGACCTCTTGGCCACCTCGGTCGAGCCCGATGTGATGATGTCGGACAACTTGGTCACTGCACAAGGAACAAATATTATTATTTGCCATAGCCGAGGTAAAAGAAAAGTCATGAAAGAAAAATGACAAGGTCTCTCAAGTTTAATGGAAAAGAAGGAAGGCTTGTTAGGAGGCAGTAAAGCTCGGCTCATTCCCCCGTCGACCAGCACGGCTTCGGGGTAGTCCCAACTAAATATCCGAAGTCCCGAACCCATCAACTTCTGGAAGGACTCCTCCTCGTGGTCCCCCGCGGAAGGGTCGGCTTTCGATTTAATCGGCCTCCACCAAAATCCCCAAGGGAAGTCCCCGGCTGGGACGAAGACGAAGTCCCGTTTCCA